GTTTATACTCGGATATTGATCCGATAGAATGAGACCTATTTTATTTTCTGATGATACTGTATTGACAAGTTTTATAAAATCGCTTGAACTTTTAGTTTTTGAAGTCAAAATATATGTATATCTTGTGAAGTGGTCTACCAGAAGATGCAAATATGTTTTAGTTGAACGTGAGCCACCAAGTCCCCCAATGGTATCAAATGACATGATTTCAAAAGGTTTTGTAGCTGGGCCTAGATGGGACATCAATCCAAATTTATATTTAGATCTGGATTTATTTTTTATGCAGATTTCACAAGTTTCGCAAAAAATTTTTATATTTTGTGTTGTATTTTTTGCTATATACAAGGGTTTTATTTTTTTTCCATTTGTTGTATTCCTATGTGACCATATAAAATGTGCGTGTTTTCTATAATTTTTATACTAAATTCCTCAGTCAGTAAAATCTTTTCCGTTTTTCCCACCTTTTTGTAATATATCTTTTAATGATAGTCGATTTTGGTGTTGTTTTATGTCTTCGTTTATTTCTTGGTCCTTTTGAATGTCTTCAAGTGTAATAAAATTTACAACTTTCAAAATATCTTCTTGGTTTTCATATGATTCCAATACAGGATTTCTACTCAAACTGTCTGCTTCTAAATTATATTTTACTTCAAAATCAAATTGTGACAAATAATACGTGAGATCACCTAGTTCTTCATCTGGTCTAGCTTTAATATTCAATTTTTCTAAGGGTTTATGATCAGAGAAAACCGTGAATTTTTTTCCCATGAACCAATGTTGCCAATATTTTACTGCTTCTTTTATAGCTAAGCACTCCAAATGAATGGCTTTTTTCTTTTTTTCTCTATCATTTAATTTCCTTGAGAAATATGCACAAGGCTTTTCTTCTACATTATATTGTGGTTGCTTCAGGACCCTGTATACTAGCGTCTGTATAAATGTGTATTGGTTTGTCTGGATCAAAGATATTTAAATGGGGCTCTTACAAAGTAGATTTTTTATTTTATCAAATGATTCTTGACATTTTTTCGACCAAATAAACTGTTCATCTTTTCTTAATAATTTATGCAGTGGCTTTAATATAATTGATAAATTAGCTACATATTTTCCATAAAAATTAATTTTACCCAAGAACTTTCGAACATTTTTCCGTGTTTTGGGGACAGGAAAATTTTTTATTGCAATTAAATTATCTTTCAATGGAGTTACTGTGTTATTTTTTATTATATGACCCAAATATTTAACTGAGTCTTGGGCAAAGTTACATTTAGAAAATTTTAATCTGAATCCTTCTTTCAGAATCGCATCCAATAGCAAGGATAAGTGTTTAATATGTTCTGTAAATGATTCAGAAAATTTTAAAATATCATCTATGTAATTAACAGTGAAGTCTGATAGTCCGTGTTTCCTATTGATACTACTCAATACTCTCTGAAAAATTGCCGGAGATGTTTTTAAACCAAATGGTAAGCAGGTCCATTGGAAATGATTTTCTTGAGTAACGAATGCAGTTTTTTTTCTGTCTTCAATTTTTAAATGGATTGACCAGAATGCAGAGTTTATATCCAATGTTGAAAAATATTTACAATTCCTTGTTTTTACCTTTAAATCTTCAATTAGCGGAAACGGATGTGATTGAGGAACTACGATTTTATTTAGGTCACGAAAATCTATGCATAATCTACATTTTCGTCCTTCTTTTTTATAAGTCAATGTTACTGGAGCTGCAAAAGGACTATAAGACTCTTCAATCAAATTTTTCTGTAATAATTTTGATACTTGCTGTTCTATTTCTTTTTTATCTTCAATACTACACCTGTATGGTCGTTTACTACAATATTTATCTACTTGTAAATCAATATGGGCTTCATATCCTTTCACCGTGCCTATGTCGTACTTATCTTTAGCAAAAAGTGTTTTATATTTTGAAATTATTTTATTAATTTCAGATTGTTGTTGAAAGTTTAGATGGTTTACTGAGATGTTGAAGCATGTTGTTTTTATATGTTCATTGAAATTTATTTTATTTTTACTTCCATCTTTCTTGAAATCTTGAATTGTTTGTCTGATTTCTAATTTTTCATTTTGACATAATTGAAATGCTCTTATACAATCTAATCCAATTAAAAAATCGTAATCAAAATTTTCTTTATCTATAACAAAAACATTAATATATTTTTCAATTTTAAAAATTTTTATCTTTAAAGTCATTATTCCAATAGATTTTTTCACACCATTAATCGTTTTTAAATTTTCGTATTTATTATTCGTTAATTTTGAATTTATTGACAATAATTTGGAATTTATTAAAGATACATTTGATCCTGAGTCATAAATTCCTAAAGTTTCTAAAGTATCATTCATTGTCAATTTTGTTTTGATTAATGGTGGAATTACAAGTTTTTTGGACTAGTTTCATTTAACTGGATTTCTAATTCAGAATTGTTAATGCTTTTAATGTGGTCTCTTCGTGGTCGATCACTGTTTTTGTTTTTGAACCAATGATAGCGAGTTCCTTTTTCTTCTTTTTCACAAATTCTGCATGGCCGCCGGTCTGTGTCATGTTTCTCCTTAACGTTGCTTTCAAAACTGATATCTTTTTTTCAAAATTTCTTTTTTTTTTACTAAATGCTCTAAACCTCGAATATTATTAAATAAATCTTCAGTTTCTTTTAAATTATCTCTATCTAATTTATCCGCTATAAAATATGGTAGCCCTGTAACGATTAAATCAATGAGGGTTTGCTTATCCATTGATTTATTTAATTCTAATAATAATCTCTTTTTTTTGTGCATATGCTAATAATGATGAGTCTTGTTTGTGTTTAAATAAAATTGCGTACCGGACTGGCGACCAACCTTTGTCAGTATAGGTTTCACAAAAGTTTTTTTTCCACATCAACCAATCTGAATTTACACTATACTTTATTAGCATAGAACTGTAAAAGTCCATGTACGTTTCCTCTAAAAGTAACCTCAGAGCCTCAATTTTTTTTGTATCTTCATCTATTCCTAAACGAGCACATTCTGTTTCAAAAATATTCATCCATTGAGAAACATTTGATGTTTTTCTTGAAAATTTATCTATTACAAATGTTCTCGTTAGGTTTCCTATATGTTGAGGTTTATTTATTTCCTTGGTCATTTCTGTAAAATTCTCCAATATTTTTGACAGTTTTTCTTCAGAAATTCCAGTCGTAGCTGTAGGTTCGGTGTTTCCGCAGTAATTTCCTCTAGTAAACTGCATATTTCCATTTTCATCTATATAAACATTTCTTATTTCTGGTGTTAATGAAATCCATACTTGTCTTTTTTCATGTCTTCTTTGTAATGTAGTTTTTACTTTCAGAAAAGTTTCAGTCTTCATAATTGTCTCATGAAATTTTACCGGCTGAAATTTATCTGGAATTGCAAATATGCGGTTGTTCATATCCGTAATTGAGGTTATGCATATTACATTTGTTTTTGGATCTTCGTTCGATTTTACTATGAATTCAAATTTCAATTTGTCCATGGTTCAATAGCTGTAGAATTGTTGTTTTATAATAGAGTTCGGCATATAACTACTAAATTGTGTTGCTCTGAAAAAGAGAAACGATTTTATTAATAAAAAATAATAAATTAATTAAATCAATTTAGCCTTAATTAAGTAAATGTCGTACCTGAAAAAGAGAAACAACAATTAAAGCTATTATATATAATAGATTCTAAGAGCTAGAAGAAATATTCAAAATATCCAAATAATTTCAACTCAAACAAAAACTTAAATTTAATCTGCCAAACGTTTCACAATTTACACAATAACGTTGTACACCATAACTCAATTCATAATGAAGTGGAAATCCTTCATTACATATATATATATATATATATATATATATATATATATATATATATATATATATATATGTATATATATTTTTGTTGTTGTCACCTCATATATATATATAAAGAACCACGATATTTTCATGGGATGACATTACAATAGGTCCTAGAGAACAACCGCGCTTCTAAAGACGATTCTACTTTGAAGCGTAATATATGAATTCAATTGACCACTGTGCATGTCAACAACATTCGAATATCGATGTTGCGACCATTTCACAATCAAGACGTCTCACATTGCATACAAAAAAAGGGGCGGAGCCATCAAATCTCACTTACAATCGACACATACAACTCCAATAACCAGCCAAATTCTTGGCAACAACACAAAAATAATTTATCAAAACACCAACACAATACACCTAAAAATTCACCGAACCATATCGAGCGCGTGTGTTGCTCAACGGATTCTACCTCCCATTTCTACAATAGATGGGTTGAAACAAATGCTGTCGGGCCGAAAGAAGAATCCTAGCCCAACTTAGATCTGGCCACTGCATCATTCTTAAAAGCTACAGATCCAAAAAAGAGGCAATGACTGTCAGGGTTCGAGGTCTGGTGTGAAGCAATTAGTGAAGTGATGGTTCATACTAACTTCTACGTCAGACGGCCCACAAAGGTATTCGCCCGACTAAAGTGAACGTATCAATAGAACATCGTTTGTTAAACAGTGAACCATTTTGTTTAGTTAATTTTGTTTGTTTTCCAGTTTAAACTAATAAAAACTCGTTACAAAGAGCAAAAAAAGAGGTTTTGAAATTATTTGCGTTGGGCTGAGGAAGGAACCAGAACAACTGATGTTAGAAGTAGGATACACGCTATCAGAAGAAGGAAAGTGTGTAATGGCGCAGACGGCCGGAAAAAGGTCCACAGAAATTGCCTTCACAGTTTGGGCAAAAAAACAAATTATAAAGTAAAGACAAAACCAAATCCAAATGCTGAAATCAAATCAAAGCAGCACGATTTGTTGGGTGTTGATTGAATTTAACTTTTTCTGGAGATACCCTAAGTCATAAAACAAATTAGTCGGTTTAAAATCTTCAAATATTATGTGTATGTATAGGTTAACAAAATATCATTGAAGATTTTTATATTTATTTAAAAAAATTGTTCAGGTTCAAAAGACTTTGTTTGGTTGTGGTTTCCAGTGTGATGCTGATCTTGATTCAGGAGACACTATGAACAAAAAAATAAGAAACGCCCAGCTGTCACAGTATAATTTTATTATAGGTACCACTTTTTTTCTTGTTTCACCCTAAATAAACCCAGTTCTTGGATATGTTTTTTTAGAGGTTGATCATTGTGGTAGCTGATATAAATTAATTAAAATTTCCGTTTGTTATAGTTTAAATTATAATTATATTTTAGTTTATATAATAAAAAAACATAATTTGCTCATTACGTAACACAGCATGAATTATTACTCATTATTATTGCGTATCTTTCTTCAACAATCATGATCATGATATTTTCAATTTGAACAATTTTGAACAGTTGTTGGTGAAAAAGAGCAAACAAACGAAACTGTGAACATAAGAACACGAGACAACAAAGTGCATGGCGAGCACAAATTGGACCATGTTATAGACAGGTTGAATTTCTTCACCCAGTCCAAGCTTCTGGATGCAGAAGAAAAATTTTGATTTTTATTTAACTTGTCATCATGTGGACATTTAAATAGTTGATTACCGCTCAACTTCAAGATTTTTAATTTTAAACACAATGAATTGTGTGGATTGCCAACATAGTGTAGTCTCGTTTTACATTTAAACTCATTGAAATACCTTGTTTTGACATCATACCAAGAATAAATTAATTTGTCTTACCATTGTGATTATTGTACCATTATTGGAACTTATCTAAAACTCAGCTTCGTCAACTATACCCAACCATAGAAAAAAGATGAGCAGAAATACTCAACAATCGAATAACGTCATAAATTTATGATAGGACGCATAATTATTTATTAAAAAACAAGTACAAGTTTTTCAAATAATATCTTAACGGTACAACCATGTATATAGAATATAAAATATATAGGAAATCAACAATTTATAAAATTTAGAGGCCGATATTACCATGTGCAACGGGGGCCTTAATGCAGAACTATAATTTTTAGTAACATAGATAAAAAAGCGTTTAATTTTTATCTATGTATAAGTTACCTAAAAAAAACTAGTATTTTTTACGACAAAATAGTATAGCATATTTAAAAAAATAACTTTTGAAGTTATTTCAGAAAAAACACGTATCTTACCATAAAATTTATTCAACTAGCGATTGAATAAAAATTTGTCGAAATGTAGTTTAGTCGATAGTCCAAACAGAGACCGGGCTATCTGCTGAACTGTATTACGCTTTTAAATAACGTAATTAAAATAATAACTTCATTATATATTTATATTTTTCTACATATAATAAAAAATATTGAACAAACTGTGTGGAGTTTTATTTAGTTTTTTCGCACATTAATCCGAATCTTCGTGTGTGTGTGTGTGTGTGTGAATCTTCGTGTGTGTGTGTGTGTGTGTGTGTGTGTGTGTGTGTGTGTGTGTTGATAAAATCCAAAGCTAAGTGCTTTAGTCAAATGCGAAATAGAACAGGGAAACGTTAGAAATGCTATGAGGATTTTAGCATCGACGGATACGGCAGACACTATCAACTCCCTAAAAGGACAAGCATCCTCCCGCTCCGTTAGACAGAAAACCAAGTCCCAATAAAGAATCGATAAGTGTTACTGTTAATCTCCAACAAATTATGTTGTGCTTGAGGCAGTTTCCAAAAGAAACCTCAGGAGGTAGAGACGGTCTAACTCCACAGCACTTAAGGGATTTAACACATGATAAGATAGAAACAACAGAACTCATCAGTGCCATGACCGGCTTTATCAATCTGCTGTTGGGTGGCGTTTGTCCACCCGAGGTGGTCCCATACTTGTTTGGCGGGAGATTGGTGGCCTTGTCAAAGAAGGACGGTGGTGTTTGACCTATTGCCATTGGATGTGTATGGAAACGCTGGGCTGCAAAATGTGCGTTATTGGTCATCAAGAACAAGGTGGGTCCAATTTACCAACCTCAGCAGGTCGTTGTCGGGATTAGCGGTGGAGCAGAAGGAGCGATACACGCTGTCAGGCGATTTGTCAATAATATGAAGGCTTTCTAAAACTTGATTTTTCAAATGATTTTAAAAAGAAACTTGACAATGCTTTGAATGGTATGCCGTGTAAATTTAACTATAAGCTTGATTGATATATTTTTTTTCTCGTTCTTTATCACTGGTTGGAGTTGTATATTCTATCTATTATTATGCGGGCCGGGCGGAAGTTTGTTCGCGCCCTGCTAGTTGACTAGAGACGCCGACCTCGTCAACTATCAGCAAGTCTTCTTCAACATCCATTATTTTAGGTAAAATAATTAAGCCGAGCCAAATTTCAAGCGTACACTTCTTTTATTCAATAAAAACAAAATAGTACAAATCAAACCACTGTCTTTATTAACGAGCGATAAATCCAAAATTAACAATATATTAATACTATAACTATCAGGCAAAATATCAAGCAATACCAGAACGAAACCAAGCTATAAACAAAACCTAAAATACATAATAAAAAAAGCGACCGACCGACCTTCTATATCTCAACTCGCGGCCTTTTATATGTTTTTACCGCCCTATTTACATAACGCTTTCTATTCGTTGGTGTTTTAGTTAATGTACATATATGTGTTTATATATGTACAAAGTCGAATATTTATGTATCTATTATTTTTATTGTTTCAGTATATGTATTCGCATATGCTTGTGTGTTTATATATGTACAAGGAAGAACATTTATATATCTATTATTTTGATTGCATCAGTATATATATTCATGCATACTTATGTGTTTATATATGTGGAAAAAGAACATTTATATATCTATTAATTTTATGACATCGGTGTATGTACTCACTTATATATGCCTGTGTGTTTTACATATATACTCAGTGCTGAACACTTATATATTTATTATTTTGATTGCTTCAGTGAATGTATTCATATGTGCTTATGTGTTTATGTATGTACAGGGATGAACATTTATATATCTGTTACTTTTATTGCATCAGTATATATATTCATGCATACTTATGTGTTTATCTATGTGGAAAAACGAACATTTATATATCTATTAATTTTATGACATCGGTGTATGTACTCATTCATATATGCTTGTGTGTTTTACATATATACTCAGTGCTGAACACTAATATATTTATTATTTTGATTGCTTCAGTGAATGTATTCATATGTGCTTATGTGTCTATGTATGTACAGGTATGAATCATTTATATATCTGTTACTTTTATTGCATCAGTATATATTTTCATGCATACTTATGTGTTTATACATGTGGGAAAACGATGATCCATATATCTATTACTTTTATTACATCAGTGTATGTATTCATACGTGAGTATGTGTTTATAAATGTGGAAGAATAAACATCTATATATCTATTATTTTTATTACATCAGTGTATGTATGTTCATATTAATGTCAATATGACTATGGGTTTTTATATGTATGGAAACGAATCATTTATATATCTAATGTGTTTATATATATTCATGCATACTGATTACATCAGTATATATATATATATACATATGTGCGTATGTATTTATATATGACATCGGTATATGTATTCATTCATATATGCCAAAATAATGCTTGTGTGTTTTATATATGTACAGAGCTGAACATTTATATATCTATTATTTTGATTACTTCAGTATATGTATTCATATGTGCTTATGTATGTACTAAGATGAACATTTATATATCTATTGCTTTTATTACATCAGTATATATATTCATGCATACTTATGTGTTTATATATGTAGAAAAACGAAGATCCATATATCTATTACTTTTAGTACATCAGTGTATGTATTCAAACGTGATTTTGTTTTTAAATTGCATATCGAATCACGGTGGTCTGTACAAGTTTTGATTTTCTTATGGGATCTCCGTAAATCCTCACAATCTCAAATCCTTTCTTTTATTTTCATTTTGTGTTTCGGATTTAAATAAAATTCTATATCATAGAAAATTCTATACTCTTTTTTATACTTAGAAGAGGACGTAGCACGCGTCGCATATATTGCTATTCTCCCTATATACAAAACAGCACAAAGCAGCGTCGCAATAAAAATGAGGGGGACGAACAAGAGGACACGAAATGAAATTGACTGCTCTTCCATTCCATAAGAACATGAGGAAACAATACTTCATCAATAGATCAACTTGTATCTGGAACAATCTGGGTGTCGATGTTGTGAATGCTGATAATGTGAATGATTTTTAAAAAAAGTTGGATACTTATCTTATGAATGCCAGATTTATGTACGATTTTTACAAAAAGTTGGATACTTATCTTATGAATGCCAGATTTATGTACGATTGGAGGGCAAATGATACTTGATGTGACATTGGCTATTTGTGAGATTGGGATATATTCAATTTTTTCTTTTTTTCAGTATGTTTTTTTTATTATCTTTTTTTCATTTTACAAGGTTTAATACATTATTTGACTTATAAAAACATTAATTATTTTAAATTTATTCAGTATAGACTCATAGGTTTATTTAATTTATTGTTTTAAAATTGTCTTAGTTTTGAGAAGGCACAGGGACGTTTCGTCTTCGCTTTTGTTTAACGTAATAATAATAATAATAATAAAGTAAAGATGAATTTATATATATAAGACATAAAGTAAAGATGAATATATATATATATATATATATATATATATATATATATATATACAGCGATATATATATTTCAAAAATTCAACACTACTTTCAACATTGTTCAACTTTTTCATATTTCTTTTTAATTTATTAATTTCCGAGAAATTAGACATTTTATTGTTTTTTTTTAAATTTTTATTAAATAAATTTGCAAATAGCTATTTCGAGTTATAAATAACTCATCTTCAGTGCATTATATATAAGGTATATCAAAATAATGCAATTACCAACAACGTTCCAAACAACAATGAACAGGAAGATAATGGCAAAATATTGAGGTAATCAATATTTTGATTTCAAATCTGCACAAAAGAAGCTCCTTTCTACACTCCTGATGGAAAAATGTAAAAGTTAATGGTGTAGCCATTGGCTCCCCTCTAGGAGTGTTGTTTGCAAACTTCTACATGGGATATTTAGAAGAAACTGTTTTCCAAAAGAAACCACATCTCAAACCCGAAATGTATGTGAGATATGTTGATGATACGTTCATTATAGTAGAAAATGAAAACAACTTGATGGACCTAATTGATGAATTTAAATCCAACTCAGTTCTTTCCTTTACCCATGAAATTGAAAATAATAAACAGCTACCATTTTTGGATGTCCTGATAACCAGAAATGACATTGGTTTTCAAACACAAGTTTATGTAAAAGACACCAATTTGGGATTTTGTCTTAATGGTAAAAGCGAGACCTCAAAACGATATAAAAATAGTGTTATATTTTCTTTAGTTAACAGAGCGTTTCAACATTGCTCTGATTATACACTCATAAACTCAGAATTATTAAGAATAAAAAAACTTCTCGTGAACAATAATTACTCTTTGAAACAAATTGATCAAGTCATAAAGAGA